GTCCACCTGGTGGGGGCAAGGCGCGCTGAGCGGCGGGGGGGCGTGGCCGGGCTGCTGGGGGCGGGGGGGGGACTGTGCTTACCTGCTTGTAGTAGGACTCGTAGAGCGGATTCCCACTGGGAATCTGTGAATGAAGGCACGGCAGGGTCAGGGCGCGCTCCACAAGCCTGCCTCAGCATGGGTGACCCGCGGAGCGCGCACGCACACACACACACACACACGCACGCACACACACACGCACACACACACGCGCACGCACACACGCACACACACACACACGCACACACACACGGGTGGCGGGGTGACGCCTGCCTCAGCATGGGTGACCCGCGGAGCGCGCGCGCGCACACACGCGCGCACACACGCGCGCACACACACACACACGGGTGGCGGGGTGACGATGATGGTGCACTCTGGCTCACGCCTGTAATCCTAGCTACTCAGGAGGCTGAGATCTGAGGATCACAGTGCAAAGCCAGCCCGGGCAGGAAAGTCCGTGAGACTCTTATCTCCAATAACCAATAACCAGAAAACCAGATGTGGTGCTGTGGCTCAGTGGTAGAGCGCTTGCCTCGCATGCATGAGGCCCTGGGTTTGATTCCTCAGCATCACATACACAGAAAAATCTGGAAGTGGGGCCACTGCTCAAGTGGTAGATTGCTAGCCTTGGGCAAAAAAAAAAAACAAAAAACAACCCTCAGGAACAGCATGCAGGCCCTGAGTTCAAGTCCTGGGATTGACAAAAAAAAACCCAAAGAGGCAAGGCCAGCAGAGCCACGACCCCAGCTGGGTGCTCAGTCTGCAGCGCCTGCTGCTGAGGAGGCCAGGAGGAGCGGGGGGGCAGGGCGGGGGGACGGGACACAGGGGCCCTGTGGACAGCCCTGACAGCCTTGCAGGCTGGGGGGCAGAAGGTCTGGGTGGCAGGATGACCGCGTCGGCCACCTCCTGGCTGGCACTCTGACAACACACCGCCCCCCGGCCAGACGTGAGCAGAGACCTGGGCACAGACGGGGCTCAGGCGGGGATCCCCAAGCCAGAAAGAGTCCTCACGGGGCTGCCAGCCGCCTCCGTGGCTGCCCAAGCAAGCCCTCACCCGCTGGGGTAGAGGAGGACAGGGTGCCAGCACTCGCCAGGCTGTGCCAAGCCGTCACCAAGCAGCTGGTAATGGCTTCGGAACTGTGCCTGAAGGAGCCTGTGTAAGACCCGCGCCGTCCCGTGCGTGCGCGTTTTCAAGACAGGAGCCAGCTGCGAGGCGGCCTGAGATCCTGATGCAGCGGAGGCCGCAGTGAGGGGCGGCCCACCTGCCATCCCAGCTGCTAGCGAGGCTGAGACCTGAGGATGGCGGTCAAAGCCGGCCTGGGCAGGAGAGGCTGTGAGACTCTTATCTCCAATGAACCAGCAAAAACTGGAAGTAGAGCTGTGCTCCAATGGCAGGGCATCAGCTCTGAGCGCAAAAGCTTGGGGACGGCGCCAGGCCCTGAGTTCAAGCCCCAGTAGCAGTGTGTGAGTGTGTACACATGCAGGTGCACACACACGCACCATGCTGAGCGTGTGCTTGGCAAGGCCCGGGCTGGGTAGCTACCTGGGGTCAGGTTCACTGCAGCGAGGAGCTTTGCCAGGCGGATCACACTTTTGCTGGGTTTCTGGGCGGCCCCCGCTCCACGGGGCGCCAACTCCTCGAGCATCAACAGACACGAGTGGGATTTCTTCTGATACAGACCCGGCGCCGCCACGGCGTGTGGTGCACGTGTGTGGGAGCCTGGCCAGGCTGCCACGTGCCTGCCACCATCAGGGCCCTGGCTCCACCCCAGGACCCCAAAACCAGTAACAGTGCAGATGAAGAGCACCCTGGGGGGGTGTGCACGGCGCAGAAGATGGCGGGGATGTGAGGAAGCAGGACGCGGGGTGCGAAGAGCTGCAGCGGCTCTGGGGGCACGGGCAGGGGCAGGGGGGGGACCCCGCGGGGGCCTGGGCCAGAGGGGCAGTGGCCTTGGCTGTGAGTGGACACGTCCGCTGCCCGCCAGTGCCCAGGCCCGAGGCCGGCGGCCCTGTGGAGACTCAGCCCCCAGTACCGCTGTGCACCCCTGCAGCTGTCCTGGCCCCCCAAAAGCCAGTGCAAGCGTCTCCCTCACATACATCCTTCCTGAAGGCCTGCCCGGCCTCTTTATCACCGCACACAAGCCAGGAGCCGGTGCTGCTTGTGGAAGCCCTGCCACCGATTCACACCGCTCCCAGAGCCCCGCACAGCCCCGGTCCACACCCCTCCCAGAGCCCCGCACAGCCCCGGTCCACACCCCCCCC